GTCACTGGAAAGGGGTGGAAGGGCCAGGCTGGGCGGAGGGTTTCTGCCCTTCCTGCAGTATTTGTTTTCAGATACTGGCCCCAGGGACAGGAAAACCAGCAGTACTTCTGACTGGAAACAGGACTGTGACTCACTGGGTCGTGTGCTCCCTACAGCAGACCTTCTGAAACCTGCTGTCAAGAGTGTTTTCTCTCTGAGCTTCTCCCCCTCTGCAGTCCCATTAAAACCCTGCACAACTAAGGCTGGGACATTTTTAACAAGCAATAGCCCATCTGAGAAAACCCTCATTTGTCTCATGTGGGGATCAGAGACAAGGGAAGCCGCAACTACCTCAGTTAACAAAATTGCCATCACCTTCCATCAGAGAGAGACCATTGGAAAGCTATTAAACATAAAAACACGAGGCTGACTCGTAAGCCTCTATGAACAAATCATAGGTGGATGGGAGAATTCTACAAGTGCTTGCCTTGTCCTTATGCTTTGCCCTAGCCAACAGGTATAGATAACTGGTAGAGGTAGGATGTCGGGCTGCTTGGACCTTTGCTGTGAGCCAGCACTCTGTTCCTATGACTTGCCCAAATCTTTGTCTCTCATCCTGGACTCCTCTTGGCCACTCAGCCCACCTTTCGCTTGCACTTCCTACTCCAAGGTAACATCCACTCCGGTCCCCTGAGGGGCTGAAAGGGGATTTCTGAGCTCCTGGCTGATAGCTGCTAATGCCCCAGCTCAGCAGAAGTGTGTGGCTGTAACTGATGGCAGCAGCCAAGCCTGCAGGAATCTGTGGGACTGGGGGTGGGCGTAGGGGTTCACTGAAGGGGCAAGATGCTGTGAAAGAGGAAATGGCCACATCCTTGAGACAAATTGCCCCATCCTGTTCCCTCACCTCCTAGAGGAATTCAGTAGAGGAGAATCAGCATCATTAACCCCAGCAAGAAGGTGAAGGCAGCTCCTAGAACAAGCCAGCTGGGGCAGTGCCCGACAAACCCACTCTACAGCCAGGTGTGAATAGGAGGCGTGGGGACAGAGCTACTGTCTGTCCTACTTCCTGCCCTTATCCCTATTTGAACCCTGATGTCAAAGTCCTACATATAATACACAACAAGGAGTTGCAGCAGATTACTCTTCAAGAATCCTTAAACTTGTGTGGTCAGAGCTGGCAGTTTTCCTGCTCCTTGAGCCAGGACTAACCTGTCATTCACATTCCTTCTTCTCCCATTCACACAGCCTCAGGTGTCCAGACCTTTCCACTCAGCTCTACTTGACCTGCGCTCTCACTTTTTATTTGGGAGAAAAGAGGGTTAAAAACACTGAAATATTTAAAATTAAAATGAAAACTTATAATAATAATGATTGGTACTTATCTCACTCTCACCATCTTCAAAGTGATTTACAAATGTTAACTAATTAATTAATCTTCACATCCTCCCTGACTGAAATTCAAAGTCACAGCTGAAGTGAGCAGGAAAATAGAGCTGGATTTTTCAGGTGAAGGGTGAAGTGAAACCTACGGCCCTGCCTGCTGTTAGCCATCAGGCAAGGCAATTTGCAGCAATATTTTCCTTCAGTACTGAAAAGCTCTTATTTATAATTCAGTCATAAAAAAGGCCTAAAATAATTCTATATGCTATCTTCCGCTTTCCTTATTTTCTTAATGGGGGGTCTTAAAAGGTATTCCCTTTGAAAGTAAACAAAATGGAAGACTTTCAGGGTTGGGCAAATGCCCCTCAGTCTAATACATTTGATCTGAAACTCTTCTGAAATCTGCAATACGGCAAGCTTTGAGAGGAGTAAGGACTAAAAAGGGAAGCTATGACCGCGCTTATCAAATGCCATTACTGGAGAGTTCAGTTGACTCTCTGGCAGGGAGGGGATAGTTATGGCTGAGGCACAGAGGCATTTCAACACTGGCTTAAATAAGATAACAAATGTATGAAGAGGCATGAGGATATCTGAGCCTTGGATTTCATCGTGGCCTAGGAGCTGGTGTAACAAGACCCCTGTTCCTGACTACCCTTTGCTTGTTTTCAGCCGGACACTGGTTTCTGTGCTCTCCGGATGAAAGGGAGCATCTCTGTGCAAACAGGCCCAGGCCTCAGCTACTTCTTTGCATTAACATGTGCACATGAAAGGTGTTCATACAAGGATACTGTGGAGAACTATCAGCATGGATCTCCTGGGACTGATTCAAGGAACAAAATGGGCTTTTCTGACTCTACTTTCAGACTCTGAATTCTGGACTTAAACTGTGAAGAATCAAGGTGTTAAAAACAAAAGCCAATAAACAGAAAACAGCCAACCAAGCAATAAAAAACAAAACAAACAAACAAAAAACCCTAAACAAACAAACAAAAGACCAACCTCCGTATCTAATGCCCACAACTAACAGGCCAGAAAGGAGCCAAGAAATGTGGAATGCGGATTCTGGCACTGCTGGCAGCTCTGCAGGTGTTCAGTACACCCTCCTGCTGCTGTGCCAGGTAGTTATATCTGTTTTCCATAAGTGGCAACGTGACTCTTATGAGGCACAAATATGCTCATCCATTATTGGTTACCTCCGATCTCCCTAGAGATGCCACCACTCCATCCCTGTTACGGGGATTTATGTCAAAAGGTCAGAGTGACTGCAGGGCACCTGGTTCCCTTTCCCATGGATTTCAACAGTCTTTCAATACTTGTGCTTTGTCCTGCTCTTCCGTTTCATCAGGGAGCGAATTCTTGGCTCTTTCCTTAGAATCACACCTCCAAAGCCTTTACAAGAGGCTTGTCTTTCCAAGGGCAGGAGGTGCTACTGACATTTGGCAGGTGCTCAGGCCTTGCCAGGTATCATACCCCTATTAGCACCTTAGGCCCAGACTAGCCTTTCCTAAGGAGATGGAGAGTTTGATGCATACAGACATTACCACTTTTCATAGACAATTACAGATGCATGGAGTACAGTGACCTTCCCCGCCAAGGTTATGTGATGCAGACAGACTAAGGCTCAAGATAATTTAAACAAAAGATGAAAGTATAACCCAGATTCTCCCTGTGTTTTACGGAAAATACAACTCAAGTAAACTCATTTTTGCGCCAAACTATCCAGACCTCTCTCTCCAGGTGAGCTGAGGCAAAACAAGGTTAGCTCCCTCCCCACGCTCTCCTGCTGCTGAATTTGCATCTTATGCCTGAACACCATGCCAAAGCCCTCCTACTCAGCACTTCCTCACCAACCAATTGCACCTAAAAGGCTTGATGCACAAGGTCACAGGACAGTGGTGGTGTTGGTGTTGTTCTGGACTAGTTCTGTGTGACAGCTGAGCCAGTGACAGCAGTCACCCAGAACAGCTCGATACATCCCTGCCCCTTGGCAAGCACGTCCCTATACCTCTGCCTGTGACCTTATAGACAGACCGTGAGCACATGCAGGGAAGCAAGTTGTGCTTACGGGTTCACGGGCTGGTGGGGGATCTCAGTGAAGGTTACTGCTGGATGGTGGCAGTTGAGAATCAGTGAAATAAAACAGCAAATAGCACAGATCAACTTTTCATGAAGCCTGAGCACCAGGATGACATAATGCCTTCACCCCCCTCCAAGGAAAGATGGTCTCACCACCGCCACAAGTCTTGCGCCTATCTGCACAATCCCCACCTTCTTCCTTAGCTCTAAACCATCTGCATAGGAAGCTGGAATAGCTCACTAACTTAGATCAAAATTAGCCTAGTTAATGAGCTGATAAAAGTCTCACCCTTACAACCAACCACCGGGGCTTTTAGCCACAGTTGTCAGATAAATTTTCTGCCCGTTTGCTGACACTCAGCAATCCAGGTTCAGGGAATCAAACATTATTAGCACAGGCACAAAGCAAGAGGCAGAATCAAGTGGTCAGGACTCACAATGTATGTCAACTTAGATCAGCTTACATCAATATGAAACAGCAGTTTGACACTCACATCTGCCTGACACATCAAGCCAGGCTCAAGGCTGAAGCTTCTAAAGAACCAGATGAGTTTTTCTGGGCATCTCACAGCAGTCACTTACATTAAGGTTTATTTTTGACCAGACATTACATCATCTAGAAATGGGGAAAACAGGATATATTCTACAAAAGCTTACACTGATGGGCAATAATTTCCTTACTCTTAATTCTTTGTCACACAAGTACCATATCACTCGCTACCAACAAAAATACATGAATGTCTTTCTAGTCTCTGCACCTGCCCAGGGCTCTAAGACTCATTGAAAATTGTATTTTTAAAAAATTTGGAGGCAAATCGCACAAGATAACTTAAAACTCTTCACTGATAACTCAAAGGAAATCACACAGCAGGACATCTCCATCCAAAAAAGCTGAACTCAGATGACTGTAAGGCCAAAGTCTTTGATTTTCTCCAGAACAACAGCAGTTATAGATCCTATGTAGGAACGTCCTTCACATAGGAGCTACAATTCAAAAAAAAAATTAATGGACCTTCATCCCAATACAGCTGCTGCAGCGCTTCTTTTGTGCAGGAAGTGAGTATTTTGAGGACATTCCTCACATAGATTGGAGACAGGTTTTCAATACAAGTTATTCTGGAACCTCCAAAATCAGGATGCATGAGGCATAATGAAACACCACTGCAAAAACACAAGTTTGTATAGATATGTCCATAGATCTATATTTTTATTGGTTTATAGATATTTATAATATATTTATATATATTTTTAAAAGAATCCTTTCAAAAACTACCCTCCTGCCCAGCAAAACAAAGATAAAATGATAAAAGACGTTAGCTGCATCCCAGAGCAAAGCGTCTCAGCGGTCTCACAAAGCCAAACGACCGCAGAGCACCAGCACTCTCCTTCCAAGCTTCTGTGATACCCTCCTGGTGCAGGGATGACCAGTCCTATAGCTCTTTACACTTAATCTGTCAAAAGAAATGGAGAGAAAAAGAGAGAGAAATATATGGTCGGGGTGATGGGGCCTTGAGGGGTATGGGAAACAGCAACACATGCAAATGGAAGCTTAGGGAGCAAAAACGCTATGCTAGAAGAAGGACAGACTGCCTGGAAAGAAAAAAGACAGGAGAGAGAACAAACATGCAGCAGAATTAGTTGGAGACATGGATCTTGGAGATGAGTTCTGAAGCACCATACTTGGGACACTTGCTACCACCCCTTCCCCCCAAAAATCTCTACCTCTCACCCTCCTAGTTGTGAAGGAAGATCCAGCTAGTTTGATTTAGACCAAATCTTCGCACTGCCCCGGAGTCTGTAGAGAGAGAGAACATTTTAGAGTGGAGCAATAAAGCTCAACCCTGACTTCCTTTTCCAAAAGGAGAGTGGCTGATGCGAGGAAGATTTATGAACTCTGCTTTAGACCAAGAGCTGCACGCATTTCCCTCCATCACTAGGGGAGAGAGCTCAGCTGGGACTACGTCTGTGACCATCTCATGCCCAGGGGACAGAGTTCTGCAGTGGGTAACCTCATTGCTTTGAAACAGAAGCTCCACCAGTTCAGTTCCTCAATACACACAACCAGCGACCACATTCAGCTGATACCATGTCTCACCCTTTGGCTTTGGAAGTTTTCTTGCTAGCCTGGCGCTGGTTGGTGCCCGGAGCTGGCTCCCTGAGCTCTGTTAGATGCTGTTCTGGGTCTTGAGATGTGTGCAGCAGCCGCTGTTGTCACTTTAATTGTCTTCTTCAGATTTGCCACCTGCCATATTGAAAAAGCAAGCACCAAACAAACAGGTCAAACAAAAGATTTAACAAATATCCAGATCTTTGCACTGTGTAAGAGCATTTAGTTGAATCTTGAGCGAGTTAGTTGAACTCGAAGTACAGAGCTCTGGGGTCCTTGTGCAGGGAAAGGTGGTACCTTACTTGAGCAAACCCAGCAACAACCACACAGTACTGGTTTCCAGTCATTTTTAAGTGATGGGTACTGGCTGTTTCCCAGCCTACTCACCTCACTCTCTATCTGCTGCTTAAGTGCCAGCTGTTGCTCTTTGTGCTGGTTGGCTCGGCTAACCTGTTCCTCAATGCCTGACAAGACAGCTTCACAACCTTGACACCTGTAGAGAAGACATAAGACTGAACAGGCAGGGTAGATTTTCACTGCACAGAAAGAAAAGTGAGGGACAGCAGACTTCAACTCTAGAGGCCAACAAGACTTGAAGGCAATGACTATACCAGTCAGAGGAGACCCAGGAGCAGCAGTCCCATGTAATAACAAAGCAACTCTATTACACGGCTGGGGGGCAGGGGACAAAGAACAAAGTGACGCAAGATCAGGAGCTATACTGACATATGCTCAAGAGGTCTCCTGCCAGGAGCCACAACTACGCAAAGGTGGCTGAGCTGCCATTGCCCCTCCGGAAGCAGACAGAGGGGCTGAAAACTTATCTTCCATTGCAGTGTAAGAAAGGGGACTGAGCAGAGCACCTCAAAACACTCCTCCCCTCAAAGAGACCCTGGGGAAGCCCCTGGTGCCTCCTTCAGCCTTCCTAGGTGTTACCACGGGGGCTTCCTCCTCACCACTCCTGCAAGGTGCGGGTGATGGTGCTTAGCTCCTCCCTTCGGATGTCCCGCCCAATGCTGTAATCCACCTCCAGGCGCTGGTTCCGCTGGTCCAGGCTCCCACGCAGCACATCTGCATACACGGCCTCGATGACGAGGTCCTCCAGCTGCCGCACGTTCTTCAGCTGCAGCTGCTCCAGCAGCACTGAGTAGGGGATGCACTGTGGGAACACGAAGGTAACTAGCACGAGGCCATCCCAAAGGAAAAAGGGCCAGCAGGAAAACCACACCCATTACCTTGATCTTGGCAGCCAGAGTGACAACTGAGAGGTGTCTCAGTTTGTTCTTCTGCGCCTCTGTCAAAGGAGGGAGGTTTGCTGCTTCTGCTGTTCTGGAGGGA